CGAAAAAGAGTACGGGAAGGATTACAAGGATGATTTGGTTTGGATGTATAAAATGATGTTTCCTCCAAGATATCCAAATATTGCTTTCATAGGATTAATAGTAAGTGCCGGTGCCATCTTTCCTGTTAGGTAGGTTCGAAGCTCGAGGTTATCGCATTTATTTTTAAGAAAATAAATTTTTTACCAATCTTGATCTTTAAAGCGAAATGCAAGCACGGTACGTTACAAGTCAAATCAAGGGTTTTATCAAGCCGCTCCCATCTCCTGCCGAAATGGACCAATGCATACGTGACCGTTATGAGAGAATTCGAAAATTTTATGTCGATCCATCACGTCATAGTATCCAAGCAAAGCCCCTTTTATATCTGGACGAACTGAGCCAAGAAATAGGATGTTATCCTTATGCTTTCGAGATAATAAAAAAATTCGGCTTAGGTTTTTGGAAATTAATCACCTTCGGCTTGGCCACACCTATTCAAGTTAGTACATTTTTCCTTATCTGCTGTACGTTCGCGAAAGATCTGACTAATTTTCTTTTTTCTTATATAATATCGAAGTTTCGATTGTTGGGAAGAAATTCTTGGGAAGGTTCAAAGGAAGCAATTTTGCTGTACAACAAACGTGCCGCTGGTAATAGTACTAAAAAACATAAAGATTACATATTCTGGGTATCATTTTCTACAATTACAATAGCCTTATTGGCGAGCATAAAAAACTACTGGTGATATTAAAATATCTTTGTACGTAATTTAAATTTTTATAAAAATAAAATGTTATTCTACTAAGATCAATGGTAAAACTGCAATCAATATCAACTGTATGCTTTCAATAGATTTCAGATAGGCAATCACGCCAGTTTTCTGATGCATCTATAAATTTAGGGTTGTATTTAATTTATTCGTGATAATGTAAAAACCAAAAATACATGAAAAAAGAAATTATTGGATATCCTTCTGAAAATTCAAATTTATGATGCTTTAATTAACAGATATTGAACGTACTCTGATTTGTTTTTGAAAAAATTCACCCCACCATTCTTTGATGCCTTCTTGCTAACAAACCCTAACTCCACCCCTCTGGGCCTAAAGAATCCATCATTCCATCTTCTTAAATAATCGTTTATCATTTCTATACACTCTAC